TACTGCGTACATTAAAAAGAAACAACACTCGAACACCTCGTTTAACTGTAGCGATCTACCAAAATTGCACGTTAACAATAGCTAAATATTTTTTATCTATAATAGAATTAGTTTCATCAATCATAATATTCTAATAATCTGAATTCTTTATCTTTTAACATAATGAATTTTCAATTATATAAACAATTGCTTTTTCAAATTCTTTAGCAGATATATTTGATAAATGTGATTCATATTTATTTAACTTCAATATTAAATTTTTTGAAGTAAGTGATGGTAATTGTAATGCTTCAGGTATATTATAAAACTTCATAATTTCAGAATTTTTTTTATGAAAATCTATTAATTGATATAAATCAGAATATATCGAAAGTGCTAAATATTTTTTTGCTATAAAATATATACATTGGATCTATATTACTACTTTAATCTTATTAGTATCTAATTGTTATGAAAATCCAATTAACAAATTACTTTGATTAAAGTTTTCTTGCTTCAGCTTCAGCTTTATATTCATAATAAATAAAATATCAATCAATACTTTGTTTTCTATAATTAATTGTTCCTTTTGCAATCTTATTTACTATTTTATTTATATTTCTGTATTCTAATCAAGTATTATTACTATTATCCATCCATTTTGGGTCTGGGTTATTTCTATATTTGCAATGTTTTACTTCATGTTTTCTACTTGAAGATGATTCTTTAGAAGTTTTAGGTTGTGATAATTCTTTTTGCTTACTTTTTTCAGTTGACAAATATTTTTTCATTGTAAAAAGATTAAAAATGCAAGATTTTTTAAATTAAACTGTTTAATTAATTCATAAAAAATGTTGTGAAACATTCGAAAATATGTGTAATTATTTAAGCAACTGTTTGCAACTATTTGTACTGTATGGCAACTGTTTGCACTGTTAACTGTTTACACTATGTAACAACTGTTTTCAATTGTTTACACTATGTGGCAATTGTTTGCATCTATTTATACTATTTGTAATATAAAATTTTTTTGTGTGCAGAATGGCGCACATCTCTCTAAAAATGGTGTGCACAAATTATATAATTTTGGGCGGAGCAATTTTTTTTTTATTTTCTAGACGAAGTACAGTCACGATTCTCTGCCAAATTTGGTATACAGTTAATTTCTCAATTAAAAAATTTATAAAATATTCGTGTAACACGAATTTCGAATTAAACGTTTCCTTATTATGAGAGAAACAAACCAAATTTGTTTCATAAAGGTTTCAGAATTAGAGATACACTATGAAATCAAATTCCAAACATAATGTAATTCTTCAAAATTTCTTGTTCGAAACTTTCGTCTCTAGGTTTTTCTTATTGCTTTTTACAGAATTCGCATCTCATTCGGTGAACTTTACTAAAAGAGACTTTAAATTCTTCCATAATTAATGCAAGCACTTCTTCCAGACTTTCTGATTTACAAGGAGTACTTTTGATATTCAAACAATTATACGAACAGAATAATTAAAGATACAAGATATTAATGGGGTTCCTAGATTGTGAATTAGCCAAAAAGCTCCCTCCTAATCAATTAGTATGTTGTAATAATTCTAACGATCCAAGTAGCTCTTGCTCTACCGATCTTTCTAATTGTTTTGCGCCTAAGGAATTAATTAAATGTTATAAGATAGATAATTTAGAAGCTTGCAGACGAACTGACGATGTAGCTAAAACCGTTTGTCAGAACAAAGATAGCTTATACTGTTTGTGGGATAGAGGAGGAACTAGTCAAAGATTATTAAATAAATACCCCCTTTTTTCCAAGGTAATTATTTGGCAGTTTAGTCGTAATACTGAGGCTGAGTCTCGTAGTCGAACTAGAGCCAAGTATAATGAAACAACTCAAAATTATGAAACTTGGATAAATGAGGATAAAGGTAGTGGTGGAAGTGTGCGTGATGAAGAGTCAGTGGCAGAAGTATTTTGTAGTGACTTTTTCCAACCGCAAATTGATTGTATGTGGGTTCCTCGTTTATACTCTAATATTACTGTGCTTAACAGTGTTAGACCAACTAAATTATGTAACCTTTCAAATTCAACAACAAACTCAACAACAAACTCAACAAATATTGATAACGATCAATTATCGCGAGAAGCTAACTTGGCTACAGTAATTAGTACTCCCATTGGAATAATTATTGGGATATTAGGTTTATTTACCACCCTAAGATGTTTCAAGAGAAGAAGAAAAGCCGAAGCTAATTTTGGATCAAAAGGAATAGTAAAGCCGGAAGATGTGGAAAAAGTTGAGGAAAATTAAGAAAATCAGGAAATAATATAAAATAGTGAAATAGTGACAAATGAAAAAAAATTATTTTCTAAGTTCAGGAATCTCGGTGGTTTCAAGCTCAGTGATGCGCTGTCTTAATACTTCAAGCTCGGATGACATGTTGTTAATAGATGTTTATATAAGATGGGAATTATTCAAAAGTTCGTTAGTATATATTTAATGTAATATCTTGTCAAAAAAAAATAGATAGGTTATGAAGTCACTTCCCGAACCGAGATCAGGAAGTTTTGCCAAGAAAAAATTTTTTATTAATTCAAGATAAAAAATAAATACAAATCTCAGGACTGTGTCCGTGATACATGAGTCTATAGTAATATACATGATTATTTTTTCGCACGATAACCCGCTTACTCGAAGGTGATTATCAACAACGCCCTATCCTTTAATAAACCTACTACTATACCCAGCACCTTTTTCACGCTATTACACAGCGCATGATATTCTCATCCAAGGCATCTTCGGTAAATTCGATGCTACTGCTCTGACGCATACTGAATTCTTTTTTTGTTTCGTCCCTTACGATATGGAGAGCTGAATGGAGTATTGCCACAACATACTCATTTCGCATTGTCTCTAAACTATCCACGAGCAAAGACCCGTAATTTTTAACCTGACTAAAATCTCCGAATACTTATCGTCGTCATGGATTTTATAGGTTGGAGGAGAATAGCGGATTTGCATCTATACCTTCAGAGTCAAGGAAGTACATCTCTCAAACTGTGGTATGAGGAGAACGACTTCAGCCTTTTCTCCTTGCACTCTTAGCGAAGTACGCAAGCATCAGCCTTTATGTCAATATCCCGGAAATCTTGCTTGGTCATTTTGAGGAAGGCACGACCAGTTAACATCTTCCTTTTCTAATTTTACTAAGCCCTTAGTCCTGTCCCCGCAAAAAACCGATAAGTTTTCCTGTATCATATTTATTAATTTCATCCGCTAGCGTAACCGAGTCATTTCCAGTAATAGTGGTGAAGTGGAGGTGGAAGTGGGTGTGTTTGTTTCAGACATAGCGTTACGTTTTTATAGGCTTGGGCAAGTGTAATAAAAAAAGTGAGTGAAAAGATTTTTTATTTGCGAAAAAATGTGGCTATACAGTTATGTGATAAAATTTAGCCGATCACGCTCCGGACCAGGGACGATGATTTATGGCATTTCACAATATATCACAAAAGTCACAAAATTTTGTGATAAATACAAAATTTAACTT